ATCCCCGGGCCGGGCCCTGAGCGCCGGGCGGGCCCCGCGCTCGCCGCCCGCCGCCGCGCCATGGCGGAGACCAAGATCATCTACCACATGGACGAGGAGGAGACACCGTACCTGGTCAAGCTGCCAGTGGCCCCCGAGCGCGTGACGCTGGCGGACTTCAAGAACGTGCTCAGCAACCGGCCAGTGAACGCCTACAAATTCTTCTTCAAGTCCATGGACCAGGACTTCGGGTCAGTGGGAGCGCGGGGCCGTGCAGGGCCTGGCCGGTGGCCGTCCTTCCGGACTTGTCGGCAGGGATGGGCCCGGGCCTCGGTGCTTGACTATGGGCGTGCCTCCGCACCTGTCTTTGCCGGCATGGCCTCGGGGGTCCTGGGCTGTGAGCTTACCTCACTGACGCCTATGACTGTAGCCCTGTCTCCCTGCTTGAGACACCGATCTGGGTGTCTGCGTCTGTGTGGGCACCCTGGTGGACCTTGCAGGCACCCGTTGTGGCATGTGGCTCTGACTGCCAGGCCAGGGACCTGAGAGCTCTGAATAAGGGTTTGTTAGGGTCCTGGGCTCTTGTGTAAATCCCTAGGCCACCCAAGAAGTTGTCTTTGCTCAAAGTGCCATCTTGACACCTGTTGGGACTCAGGGTCCGCTGCCTCTCTCTTGTGAAGGTGGGTTCTTGGTTGCACCTGAGATGGGACAGGTGGTATGAAAGGTTGGGCTGGAACGTGTTTGGTTTGTGGGGCTGAGACAGGGAGGGACAAGGTGGAAGGAAGTGTACTTGGGGGCGGGGCCACTCAGTGGGTCCCCTGGTCCTGATGGGGAATTAGGCTGGTGCAAGGCAGGGATCTGTCTACTGGGGTCTGTAGAAGTTTCTGGTGGTTGAGCCTCCTCAAGGCCTGAAAGCCGGCAGTGGCCAAGAATGGCTGGGGACATGGTGGCCACTCAAGCACTCCTGCCTGGGAGTCTTCGTTGGCCACAGAGCCCTTTCGTTCCTTGAGCAGCCGTGCCATGTGCTCACACTCCACCATAGCCTCTGGGTCCATGTCTCCTTGATGGCTGTTGCAGCCGGGGGACTTCCCGCTTGCCCTGGTCTGGGCTCTGGGACTTTGCTGGCACAGCCTTGGGTAACTCGAGTCCACCGTTCAGAATGCTGTGAAGGGGCACACAGAGGCCCTGTCAGCCGAGCAGGTGTGCCCTGGCTGCTCACAGGCCAGCCTGAGTCCTTGTGCTCAGCGACCTCCTGGGACTTTGACATTGAGGCCATTTCCTGTACTCTGGTTTGCATGGGCCTTCAGCAGGCCAAGCTCAGGGCACTTGGTGTCTCTCAGGGGAACTGA